GACAAAGAATTGTTCAAGAATTCCAGGTGAATTCGTTTCATGTTTGTTTCTTTGTGAATCTTTGTGGAAAATCTTGAGAAGGGTTTCTCAAGTGATTAAGGTTCTTGTAGTGGGATCTACAAGGGGTGCTTTCTTGGGGTCAAGAAAGTGATTATCTTTTAGTAGTGAAGTATATGCATGTGTGTTTGCTTGTAAACCTTCTTGCTTAAAGATAGTGGAAAAATCTTAATCAGGTGGTGATTAAGGACTGGATGTAGGTCACATGTGGAGTGGCTGAACCAGTATAAAAGACTTGTGCAATCTTCTTCAACCTTATCTCTTGTTTTGCAATTTCTTGGTTGAGCTTTAAAGAAGATAAAACTTGATTAACATGTGTATGTGAATTTAGATGGGTTAAATCTATAATTGGATATTATATTTGAACATCATTATCTTGTAGTCAAGTTGCACATTGCATTCATATCATTGTAACAAGTCTTTAAGAGTGCTTCATTTGAAAATTCTGTCATAGAAAAGTTTTGATTGAAATTAAGATCCAAAAAACTCTGATAAATTTTTAAAGGGTCATTAAATCCAATTCACCCCCCCTCTTGGATTAGGCCATTCTTTTCTAACAAAAATATCCGTGGAACTTCCCTGGTCAATCAACACACGCTTCACATTGTACCCCATGACAATCGCCGATACGATGACGGGGTCGTCCTCATGAGGGGCTACTCCTTCGTAATCCGAGTCTGAGAATGAAATCTCAGGCTGAGATGGTCGCCTGAATTCCGACACCGTCAGCACCGACCGAGTGTACCTCTTTCGGGCAGCTGAGGTAGTTCCCCCGCCGACGAAGCCCCCTGCGATGGTATTGAAATCGTCGTGGATGGGTTGCTGGTGGGTTTCGGTCAACTTCGTTGGCGTGTCTCTGGGAGGTGTTCTCTCCCTACGCCCATTTCAGCGGGTGTCCTCTTGTGCGCGCCTGTGTCGCCTATCCGACGAACCTCCTTCCTGTTTCCTTGCCACAAACTGCTTCAGTCGCCCTTCCTTGATCAAGCGCTCGATCTGCCTCCCTAGGACGAAGCAATTTTCAGTGGAGTGTCCGTGGGTTCTATGGAACTCACACCAATCGGTTTTAAAGGGTCCCAACTGACGCTCTGTTGTTGCGGGGAATTCAAACAACGATGCGTTGTTGACATCGTGAAGTATCTGTCACCTGGGGACATTGAGCGGAGTGAACTTTTCTTCATCATTGCTGCGTGTCCACTCGCCCCTTACCCGACCACCATGATCGGCCTGTCGGTAACCACCCTCCTTCATGTTGTAGCGGTCGCGTCGCTTATTCCAATCTGACCGTGGTCGGAGATGTTTGTTTCCCTCCTTATTGCTACCCCCTGCTTCTCGGCTCTCTGCTGCTCTTTTGCTGATCTGCACATAACATGTAATTGGTTTACTGTTCATTGGTTCTCCCTAATTCTTTAGCTGACTTACTTGCTACTCCTGGGGAGACTAATAACCAACACAAATGCACAACATAACATGTAATTGGTTTACTGTTCATTGGTTCTCTCTAATTCTTTAGCTGCCTTACTTGCTACAAAACCCTAATAAGTTTAAAATCATAAAGATGGTCATGGTCCCCAATATGCCAAATCAGAAACACACGTCTCTCTGTCTCCCCATTAGAAGAGTAACATCAAGTCCCATCAAAGAATCCAATGATTTGGCTGAGGAAGATCATTGCACTAAAAGACTATTCCGCTGTAACCTTTTGATCAACGTCAATGAATACATGTACGTATTATTAACATTAACTCTGTAATCTGAAATAACGGTTCTTAATATTGATTAATGAAAAATTTCTATTTAGCTTAAGAAATTTATACCAACAATTTCCACATTAGATTTTCTTTTTCTCCCTCCCTTTCGCTCCTCAAATCTCATTTACGCCATCCTTACCATCACTCCTTCGCGGCAACGAAGATGTGCTCAACCACATAACTCCAACAATTGAATGTAAGAATCTATGATTGGAAGACTCAACCCCTCCATCACACCAATACCACCCACAACTAGCAACCAAAAAAGAAAGGAAATGTCAAAGCTAAGATCCAATAGCATAAATTGTGCTTGATTTGGAACATATACAAACAAATCAAAGAATAACATGCAACCTACTACAAATCAAAGATAATTTTGGAAGGTTGTGACATAGCAAAAATACCTACACCAGCATAGAGGCAAGTGACCCAGTTGCACAAAGGCTCGTGACTCAACACAGATAAGGTCCTCGACTCAACGCGAAGGCGACAAGTTATTTAGCGCAGCAGCAACAAGCATTTCAGCACAACGACAATAATCAATGCGAAGACAACATTTATTTTTGGTGGTTTGTGACACTCTGGTCTCTCTCCATTTGGTGGGTGGTGCTATGATGGTCTCTAGTCTAATACTCAAAGGTTTGGGAAAGTATATAGGAAATAGTGCTATAATGTATAAAGACTATAATAATAACCTGTGGTCACTTTAATTCAAAGGCTCTTAATTATGATTCACGATGGTACACCTATAAATTTGGTTCATCTTAGAATTCGTCGGTTTAGTTTTACCAAATACACTCCAAATTGATAAATAACTTTTAAAAAGGACCCAATTTGGTCAATTAGCCATTCCAGAAGGGGACAATTTTTTTTCTTCCTTTACAATTTAAATAATCAACTTCAAATAATTTAGTGTATGTGTTTACAGGTAATAAGGGCATGTTGTAACTTCACAAAATAGCTTATGTATTTATTGATTTTTCTTCATATATTTATTATTTTTCAACCATTTTATACTAAGTTGTGTTTTATATTTAAGTTATAGGAAGGAAAACGTAAATCGAAATTATCTTTAAACTAATTTTGCAGAATAAATTTAATTGAAATGTTGAATAGTCATTCCAAGGGAAGGGTGTATATACACATACACGTATAACTCTAGGTTAGATTAACATACATACACATGTACATTATTACATTTTACACAATATCAATATTTCTGCTTCTTACTGCAACCAGTATTCGCCTTTGTATTCTCAAGCCATCTGAATTCTGAACGATGCCAAGGCACTAAGCAACAATTTTTTAAAAATATTTTTGGAAACATTCTTCCTCCTTGCAATATTTGAGTATAACTTTATACACTTCAATCAAGAGTTTAGGGTATCGAACAGCAAAGTAGTTGCAGAATCCTTCGGGAACAGGTCCTACGAGTTCCTGAAAAGTCAGTAAGAAATTAGAAGCCATATATAATTATATGGGTAGAAGGAGAAAGCTATCATGTCCTAAAGAGAAAATATTCAGCTTATGCAATACTTATTAGCACTATAATTATTTGCTATCCTTGAAGTTTATGCTTTTAGAACATTATTAATGTCATATGTTAACAAAGATGAACGTTGAAATTTTATTCATTCTTTAGATTAATGTTTCATGGATTGTGATATGGTTCGATAGATTTGACGAGTACAGATACATGATATCATACATGATATGGTTCAAGGTGGTCTGCATTATGACTGTGATTAGTTTTTGCTATTGCTGTAAATTTGTTTGAAATTTTCATGAGAATAAAGTTTAGCAAGGCGAACAGGGTTGCCTATTTTAATAGTATATTTTTTATAAGGGTGGGTGTGAGACTTCATTCGCAAGACCCACAAGGTGAGTAGGTAGGGGTCAAGCATTAAGTTAGGACTGAAGAGTGCGGGATGGGGTAAGTTACCAAAATCCAACCCCAACCCACCATGTCATTGTTGCTTGCAAAAGAATACAAGGAGTGCTGAATATACAGGGAACCCTTCCTAAATATTGCAGTGAGAGAAAAGAGAGAAAACGGTTGTAAAAGCAACCTGCGGAGAGAGAAAAACAAGAGAAGTGGCTGGACAGCTGTCCACTAAAAGATTCTGAAGATATCCTAAAGATATCACAGAATGCAAAAAGCAAAAAGGACTAACAAACAAATATTCCCGTTGTTGAAACCCATATACACTAACACTATCCAACCAAAATACCAAAAATACAAATGAGAACAAATTTATCTATTAAATGTTGACCAAGAAAGAACCTGAATTTCTCGAGGCAATTCTCTATAGTGATTTAGTTTGTTTCTCATAACTCGCAACAAGTCCCGAACACTGTTAAACTTGTACCGCCGGTAATGACCGATGTTAGCAATGAAGGCCTGTTCCATCATTTCATCCCACTTTCCACCCATGGCTACAGTGCCAATGCATTCTAATGCCACCAAAAGATCAGAATCGGTCTCTCTATTTTCCAGTTCTACCCTGTCACTGGTGTCACGTAGAAAAGAAAGTCTCATCTCGGAACTCCAGAAAAAAGGATGATACAATACATCACTCGCCTTTGGCCTGGAATAAAAAGAAATAATTTCTCAAATGATATTGCTAGCTCGTAACCTGACAATTATAAATAAAAATGCTAGAGACACAACAGCATTCGTGGACCTCTATATCTAAAAGCAAAAAGCTTTTAAGAGAGTTTATCTTTGGCAACACATACATATTACCAGTCCCTCATTGACTAGGTCACAACTATACATGCATTGTTTTTGAAAAAAGATACGTAATTAAAATAGAGAAAATAATTAAAAAAATAAGAGTTGTGAAAAAGACCCAGCTGAATAATGATGTCACGAAACATTCAAAAACTCAAATAAATACTACAATAGATTGATCATTACATATGATCAAAATAGGGTGCACTCTTGCATCTTATCTAATCATTCATCAAAGGTATATATGGTTGGGAACTTTGAGACTTCATTTTATAACACATCAATTAAGCAAGTTATAACAAGATGCAAAATTATGAAGGCACATGAAAAATATATTTTCATTCTCCAGAAAACACACCGAATGAAAATAATTTACCTTAGATTAGGGTTATGGTTTAATAAGCTACTAATAAGATCCGTGGCTTCAGGAATAAACTCCACCAAGGAAAGATCTTTTTGACTATTCAAAATATTGATATCCCGTTCAATACGTTCTCCAAATGGATGTCTTCCCCCAGTTATGCAATAAAAGAGGACACAACCTAAACTAAATATATCTACTGCCCGTGTTTGGCGTCCCTTAACAAGCTGTTCTGGTGCTTGCCAACCTGAACTGCCACAACCTGCAATTAAGCCATTAAACCTTAAGGTGAGAATAATAAACTAACTAAAGTCCTGCAGGTTAAAATTTAGGATTCAACAAAATCAAGCTGCTCAAACTGAAATGAAAGTCGAACCAAGAAATGGAAAAAGTGAATAGATGAACTCTACAGATCACTGTTAAATTTGAGTCTGATATCTGAATAATATGAGATTGGATTGATAAGGAAATAAAACAAAATTACGTAACATGTAACAACTCTTAAAATTACTTCCTAAATTAGATCAATTGATTACACGATAAATTATAATGAGACATGCTAAGACATTCTAAAATACTTCGGAGATATTTTGAGATATTCTAACACTTCCCCTTGGGCTAAAAACTTTGTTACGAGGAAAATGCTAAAAGAAAATAATATTAAAAATAATGTTGGCGCTGTAAACAATAGCTAAAAAAACAATTTGAGGATGTGGAGATGTTCGAGAAGCAATATGCAATACAAGCACCAGTAGAAAATAACTTGGTAAAGATGACTGGATTGAAATAGAAGGTCAGGTTTGGGAGACAATGCCAGAGCTGGTAAAGGAGCTGAGTCCCAAGGTGAGTCTCTAGTGACTGATTTCGGTAGCATCCGGAGGAGGTAGGAGTTCTGAGGAGGCTGTGGTCCACGATGATAGTCCTAGAAGATACAAGTAATAGTGGAAGGTTCCTTGATAAGAGAGGCTGTAGTGTAGCAGCCTCAACTAGCCCAGGAAAAGGAGGAATAGGTAAAGTAGAAGACATAAGAAGGGAACAGAATCAAAGAAGGAAACACTGGCCGAGATGAGGAAATGGTGATTTGGAAAGACAACAATAACAATTTTGAGACAGGAAAAACATTTAAGGGACAGCCAAATGGGGCCAAGATTTTGTCAATACCTGACCAGGGGTGAGTTTGCAATATGGACAGGACAGAACAGGATGACTTGAGGACACAACAGGGAAGGGAATGCAAGGGTTGATGAGGAAACAACACAGCGTGAGGAACCTAGTATCAAACACAAAAGGGGCCATGCAGTTAATCAAGTATTGGGTAGTAAGGGATGAATCATCCCAAAACCAAAATGGAGGGAGAAACCAAGTGAATTACAGGAATGATGAGGAATATAAGTACAGAATAACACAGAAGAGAGAGGAAGGACTGAGTCAATCCCTTGAGATTGTGTTTGGGAGTCATTGGCTAAAGTGACTTTCAATAAATAATCGGATTGGATATGTTTGAAAAAAAGGTTCTTGTTGCTAGGGTTATGACCAGATGCACACAAATTAAATACTCAAGGACCAAATGAGAGCAATAGATAGAGTGGCAAAAAGTTTTTTACAATATTTGCAAAAGAGGCTCAGTGGAACTACAGGATTCTTGTAACTCAAACCAACTCAAAAAATCCACATAGGCTACTGGAGATGTTGTAGGTGGATAAGAAGGCTTGAATGTGGCCAGATGCACGAAAAAGTCAAATACCCAAGACCCATTGACCCAAACGAGCGCTATTAAGATAGACTGGCAAAAAAAATTACAATATCTGCAAAAGAGGCTGTGGAACTACAGGACTCTTGAAACTTAAACCACCTCAAAAGATCCATATAGGATACTGGAGATGTTGTAGGTGGATAGGAATTAGGAAGGCTTGAGCATGGCTGGTTGAGCAATCTGGGCAACCCCAGTAAGGTCATGAAGGTGCATCCATGTAGAGTCCAAATATTGTCAATTATGCAAACATAGGACCACCAAACATTCAAGAGACAATGACACTAGTAAAATCATGACAAGCCCCATAGGGATGTTAATTTTCACAAGTTTACAAAAGTTTGGTTTGCTTCCAAGCAGACTCGGTAAGTAACAGAAAATGGTACCACTCAAATACCATATTAGAATTACAGGGTTTTGATATAGAAGGGGGGAGTGAGAGAAATATGATATGACTCTAAATAATAAGTTTGGGTAGAAACATGGTTGTCAAACTCGCGAGTCAACTCGTAAACTCGTACGAGTCTACGAGTCTAGGGTAGCAAAACGGGTTAACTCGCGAATAGACTCGTTTTTTGGTAGACTCGGGTAGACTCGGTCAGAATCGCGAGTCTGAGGCCGAGTCCACGAGTCTACTTAGGTTTTTTTTTCCACCCCTAAATGCCCCAAAACGATGTCGTTTTAGCTAGGGTTAGTAAGTGAGAATGGCATTTTTCCCTTCGCACACGATGCCTCCACCATTCTCGCGAGTCTGATTTGATTTCTCTCCCTCCGCCACATACGAACGCTCATCTCCGCCGCGTACGAACGCGCATCTCTGCCACGTACGAACGCCGCCACATACGAACGCGCGTCCTCTTGCTGGGAAAGGAACAAGTCCAGTTAGGAAGGAAGCTCGCGAGTCTGATTTCTCTCCCTCCGCCACATACGAACGCGCATCTCTGTCGCATACGAACGCGCTTTCCGTCATTGCAGCTTCCAGCGCCGTCGTCGTAGCTTCCGGCGTCATCCCTGCAGTTTCCGACGAACACCCACTAGTCACTGTCTGTCTTCGTGAGTGTTACTTCTTACTCTAACATTTTTTGATTTGTATTATGACATTTTATTGTTATTTGACTTATTTCAGACTTAGAATGTTGAAATAGTGATATCATATTGTGTGTGTTCATGTTTTTTAATATCTTTTAATATTAGGTAGACTCTTACGAGTCTACGAGTCGAGTCTACGAGAGCTCCACGAGTTTGTGTAGACTCTCGAGTTTGACAACCTTGGGTAGAAATGGTATGTAATAATAATATAATAATATGATACAGAATAATAACATAATGTCTTATTTATACAAATTGATTAGGTCAAGTAATAGATTCTAATGATGTAAAAGCCCACTAATACAAGACTACTAACCCTTATCAAATAAAATTTGGAAACAACTCCTATGATTGTTTCCTCAATTAGATCACAAATTGAATCCAATAAATTATAATGATCTTTTAAGATATATAAAGGATAAGCCTAGACAATCTAAGAAACTATGAAGATATTAAGAGATGTCATCTCACCACAGTAATATACAAATACTAATCTCATGCTAGACTTACTTGGATATTCACATGGCAAATGGTAGGAAAACAAATAAATTCGTTTTTCTTCTAAGGAGTACTTACCAGTAGCATTATTACCCAAAGAAGACATATTTTCAAGAAGGTGTTTGCTGATCCCCATATCAGAAAGCTTTGCACATAAGGATCTTTCTTTACTTATTAGAACATTTTGTGGTTTCAAATCTCGGTGTACTATTCCCAGTTTATGCAAATGATCGATCCCAGAAACAATGTCCCTGTGTTGCCATATAAAAAATGAAAGTCAGTTTAAGTAAAAAGGTATAATATAAAGTTAAATGTCAACTTCCGCCCATGAGGTATCATAAAAGGAACATTATCTCAACCTGAGTCCCCAAATGAGTTGAATCAACTACATAAATCAAAGTTGTAACTGAATATGTTTATTCTTGGGCATTCTTTCTTATTCAATACTATGTTTTCCTCCAACCTACTACCACAAGGGACTTGGGTAGTAAGTCCTACATCGAGTAGTATGGGATGCTAGGTAGAGTATTTAAGTGCTTGGTTCTCCTTGCTTAACAGCTAGCTTTTAAGGGAAGGTTTCCCAAGTCTTTAGGTGTTTATCAATTGGTATCAATCAAGGCTGGTTGACAGCATCTCAGAAAGGGTGATGATCGTAGAGGTACTCAGCTACTGAGACATCAACTCTCAGCTATTACAGGCAGTGCTACGACAGGGACTTGGGTATTGTGGGATGTCTAAGTTCCATATCGAGTAGTATAGAATGCCAATGGAGTGTTTAAGTGCTAGGTTCTTCCCCTTAATAGTTAGCTATATAGGGAGGGTTTCTTAGGTGCTTGGGTGCATATCATATTACCTTCATTTTATGATTTTATGTCACTCTCTGTACCCATCTCATCCCCTTGGTTTCTTCTCCTATTGCATTGAAATACTAAAGTTATTCTAGTCAGTTGTATCAGATCATCTACTTACTGATTCTACCTCAACCTTAGATGTTAAATCCAGCATCCGCATTTATCACCTAGTTTTCTATCCTCAGCTGAAGTAATGGTCATGCACATCAATAGTGACAAGGTACATTTTCTTAGCCTAAAACCAAAACTACCCAACGAGATCTCACATCAACTATACATATGGCCAAAATAGAGCTTATAAAGGATTGGGCAAACCACACCTCATGTGTTAGCTTTTGAAATTAAGTATGCCAGGCCCAATTTCAAGATGGAATCTAACTATCAAAGCCTATCATAGATCTAATATTGGGTCAGCTTCAATTATCAAAAAATCTACCTAACCCAGTATGTATTTTATTTTTATTTGCATACAATACAACTTTCATTTTTATACATATAAAATTGATTTATGTCATATATTTAACTGCTATGTAACTTCCTCTATTTGCCAAGATGCTATCCGCTATAAGGTATAGAGGATTATTTACTTTCCACCATTTTCCACAATTCATAATTGATAACACTATATCAATGCCTACCATAGATCTAATATTGAGTCACCTTCAACTATCTAAAAATCTACCTGACCCAGCAATTTTCCTAACACCGAAAAAAATAAAGTTCTTCAATCTCCACATTCCAGATCTTCAATCCTAGGCATGAGAGGATGTGTTGAGATTTCACATCAATTATAGATATGATCGGTAGAGCTAATAAAGGCTTGGGCAACCTTCACCTCATGAGATAACTTTTAGGTTTGAGTTTGGCCTAGCCCAAATTCAAGATGGTATCGAAGTCTATCACAAATCTAATATCATGTAAAAATTAATTATTTTTTATAATATATGCATATAAGTAAGTCATCAAATCAAGAAGACATCATACCAACCTCATCAGATTCAATAAATGAGGAGATGGATAACCGTTTTTCTTCCAAAGACATTGCGCATTATCCTTCCCTGACTCCATTTGGGACTTTATCAAACATTTGAAACCCTTCTCTTTCCTATACTCAGAGTCTTCTGATATATCTGAATGAATTTGAATCAAATCATCTAAGTTGCATGTACAACGTTCCAGAGCAAGGTAAAAAAAATCACTATCAGACTCCATCCCATGCCATCGGACAATGTTTGGATGATGATCAGACATAATGAGGCTTTGGATTTCCTTAAAAGCTACATCATGATGACCCTTGACAAGACGTTTCACAGCAACTGCTCGGCCTTCATATATTCCCTCAAGGACAATGGTACCATTGCTTCCCTTGGCAATCTCTTTATTTGAAACAAGTAACTTACCAATTCTTCGTCCATGAACACTTTCATCAACTTGATTGAATAGCTGCCATACTTCACTATCAGTATCCTTTTGTGTCGGTACATCATTGTTCTCTGAATAAGGGTGCTTTTCCCTTTCATCGATAGTGACATTTTTCTTCCCTGACTTACGAGTTTTCTTTTTCTTAGCAGGTGAACTCTTTAATTCAGACTCACTGTTTTGGTCCTTCAGTATATCTTCATTCTTAATCACTAGAGGATAGATGAGTGAAAAGGCCAGAACTAAGACTGTGAAAAGTATAAGAGGTAATGGAGTTGGCCATTCCCTTGTCATGTTCAGATAATCTTCCCCTGGTGTAGTAACCTCCACAGAAGGCTGAGGAAGCATCATGAAATCATCATGACCATTGAATGATCTATCAATATTTGGCTGCGATGGAAGCATTAGATTTGAGTTAGGCATTGAGAGCATATCATTTTCATGATAAACCCCAAGTTGACTTTCAGTTTGTGAAGATTCAAACAGAAAATTCTTCTTCAGACGGAAGACTTGTTGTTTCTCTTGACATGGGTATGACATTGCAAAGTTGAGGCCATTGTTAGAAGCATACTCGTCCTCTACACCAAAAGAGGTATGTTGGCATAATAATACAGCCTCAAATTCAGCTACTGTCAAAGTCCACAAAACTTTTCCTGAGCTTGGACCAACAGATTGAAGAGAATAATCTGTTCTAAAAATCTTAAGCAGCACCTGTGATGAATTTACCTTCACAGGATCAACACCCTGCCTGCCATCACTCCAAGGTGCAGAAGCATTATCAAAATCAGACATCCAATGGGTTTGAATGATTGATCCAGTTTTAGCATCAACTTCAAACAAAGTGCTTCTTTTGGATCCAAGTGTTACGGATCCATCATCTGAAAATGTAGGTGTACGAGCTACAAATTCTGCAATAGATTCTGATATTCTCTGCAGATATGACAAATTGACGGAACATCAACTTCAGTACTCATCCAAATATAACAGCACTTAGATAAATATAACTTTGAAATTACTATTGGTCACATGAAATATTATATTTTTTTAATTAAAAATAAACAGGGCTAAACCTGGATATATATATATATAAATAATGCCGGAACCCTATAAAATCATCTCAATTAATTTTCTCAGTTATAGGTATGAGACTAATAAAAAAAGAACAAAACATTTAATTACATATAGAGTTGGAGCAACCACAGCATCAGCATGTCTCAAAACAACATGCCGCAGGAACAGCCTGAGACCCATATTAGTCTCCCCGAAAACTATTGTATGAAATTAATGTATTGGAAAATGATCCACTGGGAATAGAAGAATTTAAAGCTAAATTCATGTATTTTTCAGATGTATATATGGTTCCTTATCCCACATACTTAGGAAGTATGAAATATAAACCATTACAATATAATATATTTTGGTAGTATTATATACACTCAGTCAGCCATAGTCTCTGACTGTCCAGAACCTTTTCTCTCAATCCAAAACACTTCTACATCATGCAAATGACTTGCAGAGTGCACATGTCCATATATGCTATTCTTCAAATGAGGTATCAATAAGTGTCATTCCCCTAAATAAAGCCAATATATATTTGCAAATTTTTTAACCATATCCAACCAAGAACTAGGTTAACTTCCAAGTAAGAGTTATATTCAAACAATCACAACGCTCAGATATATCTTAAGACAAATACCATTTTACCAAAGAATTTGTCGTGCATGTACAATGACCAGTCATCCCCACATTCCATGAACCCACCCATTGCTGCAGACGCATTTTCTTTACCATTATCGTTATTTATCGGAGCTCGATAAGATTGGTAGATTGGCAATCCTGTCGAAAACGACCATATGGCCCTCATGGAACCACTCTCCGACGTTTCCACCAAATGCATAGTCCCATCCGGGGTCGCAACCAGTGCCGTAGTTGCATCCTCACTGTCAATGAAAAAACATTCCATGAAGCAGAATGACACTGTTAGAATGCCACCAGCCAATAGAAACAACTAAAACCATCACAACTAAACCTAGAAAGCAAGGAATCAACACGCACACAACCACATCAAGAAACAAGAATCTTTAAAACGTGATTACGACACAGCACATGAAATTAGCACAAAATTGACACGAAACACAAGCTCTGAATCAAGAGAAAGAATCAACGTTTCACAAAATGATGCAGTTTATCTAACTTGTATGCAGATTATTTTAAAGAAGGTGCAGAGACTAAAACTAGCACGTAGTCCGATAAGTGTTCGATAAAAAGACATGAGTGATGGAAAATTTGAGGGAACTGACGGTGGAATGGAGAGAAGGGAGCGGGAAGAGCGCGGATGAAGTCGAGCGTGGAAGTGGTTTTCTTCATTTTGGTGTTTGGTGTGAGGCGTTGATGAGGTTGGGGCGAAGGAAATGGCGATTGCTAGGGAGAGAAGAAGGGTGGAAATGGTGAAGAGAGGAAAGTTCATGATGATTAGGGGATTGAGATTGTGTTTGGGTTGAAAGAATTAAAGAGGAGGAGAAGTTGGGAAGGAAGGAAGGAAGGGTAAGGGAGAACAGCAATTACAATTTATTCATTTTATGTTTTTTTAAGATTCTAAGCTTCTTCTCAGATGCTTGGATTTCCTCAACATCCTACACTTGGACTTCTATGGTTTAAGAAAAGTTATAGGGTATACACCTTTTCAAAAATATTTTTTTTATTGTTAATTATTAATACACCAATTACAATTTATTCATTTTATGTTTTTTTAATAAATTTTTAAGGCCAAATTATATTATAGTTTTGATTTTTTTTTATTTATTTTAAGATTTAATTTTATTTCAACATTTTTAAAAGGTATAATTTAATTTTTAATTTTTTAAAAAATTTAGTATTATTTATTTATCTAAATTAACATTAACGACATTAAAAAACCATAATTCTAAATATTTTAAAAATTAAATAAATAAATAAATTATTTAAAAATAATAAAATCAAATCAAATATTTTAAAAAATAAAAAATAAATTGAATAAAAACTTATCTAACATGATTTGTTTAAATAAATTTCCACAATCTATCTCAGTTAGTTATATTTCATGATTTTGTTAAAATAATTAAATTTATTCTCATGAATCTTATTCAATTTTAGTTATTAGTTTAAAAATTGGATTGAATGATCTATTTCAATTGATCTAATTGAGAAGTGATGTAGTAGTACAATTGATCTAACTTCAAAAATAATATTTGGTTCGTATTATAAATGGTAAGAATTTTCATCCAATCTAAAATTAATAAAAATAACTAAAAAATTCAAGTAAGAAAATAATTTGTATTTAGTTATTGTTTTAATTTAACCCATCATAATTTTAAGATAAATAAAAATATTTATTTTAATATTACACATAGGCATAATTTTTAAAATGTTTGATTCGGCCATTTAATTTTTAAAAATATTTATTTTTTTCCTTTTATTTCTATAAGATAGAGGCTGAAAAGAGTAGGCGAGGGATGCCGAAAAAGTAAGCAAATTCTTATATGTTGACAAATGATTTGTAAGTCTCAAACTTTTAAAAATAGTGAGACTAAATTGAATTCAAAAAATAAATAGTAAAATTAAATTGAATTCTAAAATTAAATAGAGGAAAAAATATAATTTTTCCATTTTGTAATAACAAAGATATTTATATTAATGTGAAGGATTCATTGAATATAAGTACAAACAAAATGAATATTCACCTCTCAACATAATTTATTCCACATATATTCATTTTTTTTACTCATACATTCATTTTATAATTTACATACTATGAAAATGTAAGCATCATAATGGGATATTTTCACATTTATGCAAGTTTTAAAAGAAATTATTAGGTGCTACTATTTAATTCTAGAAAAATTATCCTATTATGTTTTTCTACACTTTTATTTATGTTGAGAATTCTTTGCAAATATATATATATATATATATAGAGAGAGTAAATAAAAGTTTAGGGTTTAGTATATATATATATATATATTAATTTATATTTTAATACACTTACAATTTTGAAGAAGATCATCAAAACTTGACTTATCTAAATTTTCTAAAGAGTTCCCATTTGTATTGGTTTTGATAGTAGACCCATTTAGAGAGACTCACCTAACTAGAAGATGGTTGTTAAAAGCAGATTTTTATATTGAAAGCTGAAATGGATAGAGTCACCATGGTGTTGATTTGGCTTATCACAAATCACATGCCAGACAAGATCCTGAACAACTTCAGAATTCCTTACCCTCCAGATTGTCCAAATAGTGACTAAAAAAAGCATACCTCTACTACTAGTTAAATTATCTCTCAGCCAACTGTGAAAGTCATCATCATCATCTCATCAAATGAAATTGAAAGAACTTCAAATTTGTTTAACTTTACGACAATCTCTCAAAATATGAAAAAAGTCCTCCAAAAAAGCACCACACCTACAATAAAAAGGGTCAAAAGACATAGATCTTTCAACTCTAAGAGTGTTAGGTGGAAACAACCAACCAAGTTTTTTAAATATACTTGATAATATTATTTCGATAAAAATATTTCTAAAAATGCAATAATGTAATATGAATATATGATATCTTGAACAAATGACTCCTTCATATCTTTTAAATAATAAAAGTATGTAAATAATTCTTAAATTATTAAAATCATGTTATATAATCCTAATTTTTTAAAAAAATATTAAATTAGTCCCTCAAAATTAATAAAATATATCATCTTAAGAATTATGTTAAATTAAAAGACAATTTTAGATCCCTCATCTATAAAGTTTTAATGATAACAAACACAAATATTATTATAGATGTTTTTTTTAAATCATTCAATAAGATGAATGCTTAGTATATGACAAATGTTTTGTATAAGACAAATGCACTAACATAATATATTATCTCGACATAAATGTCTAATAGATGAAATACTTCATCTACAAGACATTTACTTTGAATTAATATCATCTGTTATATATGATAACTAGATCAATCTTTGTGTATATGATTCCTTAACAGATTAAAACAAAATAGCTTCCTCGATATTCATAGTGATAAAAGAAATAGAGGACATGGTGGAATCAAACTAAGGCCAAGAAGACCAAGAGGTGATATATTGAAGGAGGCAAGAGGAATGAGTTAGTTTTGAAAATCATAAGAGGAGTGAGACTACTTTTGGGCCTTAGCTCCTAAGTTTTTATTAGTATAGGATTTATTCCTATTTTTGCCCTTGTCTTTAATTTTCTATTTTACCCCTTGTATTTTGGGTACCTTAGACATAGGATTTATTTTTTACTTATATTTCCTATTTTACCATTGTATTATGGGGTGTCTTAGATTTTAGGATTTTATTTTATAGCTATGGTATTTTATTAAGGTTGGAAACTAGGCCTAGACATGTTTTTTGGTGGCATTGGATTTATTTTTGGACTTGGCAAGGTTTAGGCCCAAGTGGATGGAACCTAGGTTGCATGGTCTTATCATGCACCTAGATGTAGCTTAACCAAACCTAAAGATTCCATCCTTGGCCACCAAGTAGCATTTAGGGTTAATTTAGGGTTCATTTGAAGTGCATTTGGATTGCATTACTTGGCCATGCACTCTCAAATGTAACCCTAAATGCATCCTCCCTTCTATAAATACCCTAGGCTAGCCTCCTTGTAAATACTTTGGAAATTAATATAGAGTGAGCCTTTTGTGCCTTTATATTTTCCTTAGTCTCTCTTGGTCATTTTCGGCCAAGAACCCTACCTATCTCCACCTTGAGTAAAAACCCTAGGAGTGGCCTTCATCTACCTTGGAGTGAGCCAAACCCTAGAGTATCTCTCAAGCATTCCATCAAACACCTTATATCCAACCTCCATTTTTATCCTTTCCTCCACCAAAGACGTCAATCTTGAAGAACTTGATCCGTAGAGTCAAGGCTTCCTTCACATTGGTCATCATCTCTCAACCAATGCTAGTAAGGATGCCATCATGTGGTATCTAGAGCCAATGGTTCTTCAAGGGTAATCTCTAACCTATTTTGAGTCTTTTAAAAATCCGATCATGTCATGGTGTCTTCTTGCTTGTCTTGAAGTGTTGCTAAATAGATCATATTAATGCTATATTCTCATGGTCTATGTGTCTTGTTTTGTTCATTGATTCATGCCATAAATTTTCTTGTGAATCATCTTGGTGCCTAGGTTTCTTTGTAGGATTCGTCCATTTTTGTTTAAGTTTGGGTGGCTGGAAAGTTTTGTGCATGATAAGAAAAATGATGATCATGTGTTTTTATTTTATAATCTATTAAGTTTTGTCATAAGAGTATGATTCTCCCTAATTTTTCTTGAAAGAAAATTCCAAATACACATGCCTAAACGCTTTCATGATCAAAATATGATATGCATGCTATATGTTTGTTGAAATGGCCATGGGATTTAGAGTGCTTTAGAGTGTCAATCATGCATGCTAATTAGTCCTAGCATGTTCCTTGATATTTAACCATTCATGTGTGATTTGTATCTTTGCACATATTGCTAAATTCAGCCATCTTGCTTTCCTTTTCCATTTGCACTTAATATGAACATGTTTTGCTTGATAATTTGATGTTGAAAAGTGATTATATGTACTTATTTTACTGCTGGACTTTATTGCACATAAAGCTTAAAGAAACTCAAATTATTGACTCATTAAGCCATCACTAATTGCTAAAAGGATACTCCAAATTTTTGCTAATCAAAATCAACAAACACAAGTGTAAAACCCAAGCAAAAGAGGAATATTAATATTAAAAAAAAGAAAGAAAGAAAGTGGCTGGACATTATCATTAAAAAAAACTGTGCCAAAACAAGTGAAAAAAAATGCAAACAAAAGGATCATTTGCTAGACTTGTGGACTTTTGGACAATTTTTCCTACCTTAGCAATTGGAGTTATTCTTTGGACCTTTGGACTATGTTTTAGTGGCTGAATGAGACTTTAAAATTTAACATGTTAAGTGCAACATTTTATCAAACACTTGCTACTCAATTCTAGTGTCATTCTAAGAATTAATCTTTTGAGTGCTTGCCTTTCTGAATGTGCCTTAATTTTAGTTTTATGTCTTCTTTCTACTCCTAAGTTTGTCACATTTATCTCCACATGAGTTTAGCCTTCCTAATTGTGCATTTTTAATTTTTTATTTCTTTGGACTCTTGTACTCTTGGGTGGTTTCTTCTTGATCTAGGTGTGGAAAGCTCTTAAACTCATATACATTTTCGGTGAATTGATTGGAGGAGTTGTCCGATTTGACTCCAAGACCTTTGGAAGGAGTTCTACCATCAAAAAGAGTGAATACACCATTGAGAGGCTAACCTTGGGTGTTCCTTGTGATGGGGTGGAGAATTGAAGACTAGAAGATCTACTTTTATTGTTTACATTTCTTTTGCACAATTTCTTTTAGGCCACTTGTGTTCTTGGCCTTTGTTTCTTTATTTTTTCTGGTTTGTAATTGGCCTCTTTAAACCTATTAGTTTTAGGGTAATTCGAGTAGTGCTTGTGGGAGTGGCTTGAATACCACCAAGGTCACTTCAAGCTCCCACCCTAGGGAATCCGACTAGCAC